TTTCTAATGATGTCCTTCTATATATGTGTTGCTTTTATTGGTTAATGAATAAAGCTGCTTTGGCCTAGAGCAGGGAAAAATATAGCCAAACTAAACAAAATATATACAGAGAATAGGCGAAGTCAAAAAGATGCCATGTAGCTGCTGAAGGAGACAGATGCACCGGAACATTGCCAGTAAACCATGAGCCTTGTGGTAAAATATAAAATAATAAAAATGGGTTAATTTAAGATATGAGTTAGTTAATAAAGAGCCTAAGCTAATAGGCCAAGCTGTGTTTTAATTGATATAGATTCTGCGTGATTATTTTGTGTCTGGGCAGCTGGAAAATGAACAAGCAGTCTCTGCCTACAGAATGGTACCCAATGTGGGGCAGGGATCCACATAAGACCTAAAAAAAAGCTTCAAAAAAGAGGACTTCTAGACCTACAAAATCGGGAGCTAAGGACAGCTTTTTGATAGCTGTGTTCTTCCCCCCTGCCCCGCCAGATAGGATGTGTTTGCTGACAGCGAGCAAAGTCACAGCTCCTCTATAAAAAAAAAGACTTCCTGACTCAGCAGTAGCAACAAAAACTATGTGGCTCCTTTAAAAAGGCTTTCTGGTTCTGTGCTAGTTGTACAAACAGCTCTGGGTCTTTCAGGAGGCCAAGCATTTAAAGCAATTAAACTAGCATGCTACTAGTTGCTTAATGATAACATAGACAGGCTACATCCCTGGAGCTAGAGTGGAGTACATGACTTGCAGAGACAGTAAACATGCCTCTGCCATTTTAGACTGGGCAAAACAAATAGACAAGGCCACAAAGTTGGTCCTAGCCATGCCCACTTAACATATAAAAAAAAAACACTTCTGGTTAAAAAATTATTACAAATACACAATAAAAACAAATTGAAATAAAAAGACCTCTAAATGGGTCACAGTGTTAGATAAATGTACATAGGCTTTAAAATATATAAAGTTATAATATAAAACATACAATCAACATAGATTTAAAAATAAAAATAATAAATATTAAACTAATAAAGTAATAACATAAAAATAAAATATACACAAAAAGTCTAAACCATGTATATTATTGTGTTTTCTTTTAATTTTTTGACTTAAAATGAGCTAAGGAAATAATACATTTCTGGCACTGACTGAGAAATGAAATGAATGGCCAGGACCGTGGCTCATACTGGGGAGTCTGGGTCAAGGCGAGTATATTGATTTAGAAAAATGACTGGATTTTTATCAGATTTCTGTATAATCTCTTGGAACTTATCAATATTAACAACATTGTCCAATGTCGCTGAAGGAGACAACCAAGCATGAGGTCCCACCTCTGGTGGCCATTTAGACCTGGCTGATAATCCCAATAGGGCTCTGTAGCTGGCCATAGGAACCATATTGTCCACTAGGTGGGTTTGGTCTGCATACTGTCTAGCTTCTGACTGACCCCAAACTCACTCTTTAGGAGTGAGAGTGGAGGCCTGGTTGACACAGAGATCATGGCAGGTTAGATCGTAGGCTTGGGACAGATAATAAAACTGCTTGATATAAACAGAAGAATTAGCAGAGGACTATAACTGCTTTGCTATCTGTGATAGGTCCTTAGGGAAGAAAGAAGGGTAGTCTTCTGAAAGGAGAAAGGAGCATAGTGCCATTTACTAATGATAAAATTGACAAATTATGGGCAAAAAGTGAACCCTGGCAAAGAGCTTGTAGTAATTTTTTGATTGAGATTAACAACTAATATCCCAAAGGCAAAATAATTCAGCTTATAAAGAGAAGTAACTGGATCCTTCCTCATGTCATATGGGACACACTAATAACTGGGGCCCCTGCATTCTATACTGATGCAAATAAATCAGGGATGGCAGGTTACAAAACAGAAAATTTAAGTAAAGTAGAACAAAGCCCTTATGATTCTGTTCAAAAGTCAGAATTATATGCTATTCTCATGGTACTAAAGGACTTTAAGGAACCTGTCAACATAGTTGCTGATTTGCAATATGCAGAAAGGGTTGTTTTACATATCGATACCACTGAATTTATACCAGATGATACAGAATTGACTTTATTCAATTACAAGATACAATTGGAAATAGGAATCATCCCATATACATATCCCACATCTGATCCCATACTGGTCTGCCAGGTCCTGTAGCACAAGGTAATGCAGAAATCGAGCAATTATTGATAGAAAATGTGCTCGGAACTTCATAAAAAACATCATGTCAGTAGCAAAGATTTAAAAAAGGACTTTTTCATCACATGGCAACAAGCCAAGGGAATTATAAGGAGATATCCTATTTATTCTTTATACAACCAAACACCACTACCTGCAGGAAATAACCCAAAGGGTACTCAAAGGAATGAAATCTGGCAGATGGGTGTGTTCTATTTTGTAGTATTTGGAAAACTAAAATATGTACATCACACCATTGATACTCAGGTTTCCAGTGGGCAACTGCTTTGAGTTCAGAAAATGCTGATTTGGTAATCATATGTTGTCTAAAAGTTATGGCCATCATGGGTATACCTGTACAAATAAAGACAGACACTGCTCCAGCATCTGTTTCTAAGAAAACGAAATAGTTTTTGTTTAATATAATATATAAGCATATTGCAGGTATACCACACAACCCTACATGTCCAGAAGTTATAAAAAGATCAAATTGCACTCTGAATGATATATTAAATAAGCAAAAAGGGATGATAAAGATCCCAGGAATAGATTGTTATAGTTTTCCATGAAAAGAAAAAAAGAAACTTTCTAAAGAAATGTAAAATGTATAAGGTTGAGAGATATCAAAATATAGTTTTGAATGGTAATGCAAGTTATGATAGAGAATAAATTAGGGACAAGTCCTCAGACTCACCAAAATAGGACAGATAATGGAGCATTTTCTCTGAATTTGTAAAATCCAAATGTAGTAGACATTGTGAATATACTGATTGCCTGTATACATTGTATATAGTTATTATACTTATTTTATATTTTTTTATATTAGTTATAACCTTTTTATATTAGACAAAAAGGGGGAAACATGGTGACATTTTGTTTATGTTCTAACAAATAAAGCTTGCCTGAATATTATAGTGCAAAGCTAGCCACGCTAGTCAACCATACAGGCCAGGCATTGGTGGCATGGTGTAGGAGGTCCTTCTGTCTATGTGTTGCTTTATTGGTTAATGAATTGTTTTGAGCCTATGGCAGGGAAGAACAGAACTAACTAGGCAGGGAAAGCTAGGCTGTAAGCTGGGAAAAAGAAGGGTGGAGTTAGAGAGACTCCATGGAGCAGCCACCAGAGTCAGACATGCCAAAACTTTGCTGGTAAGCCACTTTCATTAATCACAGATTAATGGAGATGGGTTAAATTAATATGTAAGAGCTAGGCAATAAGAACCCAGAGCTAATGAGCCAAGCAGTGATTTAAATAATATGTTTTCTGTGTGATTATTTCCAGGTCTAAGCTAGCTGGACGGTAGGGAACCAACAAGCAGCCTCCCTTCTACAACAGTGGCACAAAACCTTTAATCCCAGCAGTCATACTACTTAGTTATAGAGGTTAGGTAGGGGTGTTGCACGCCTTTAATACCAGCAGCAGAGAGGAATATAAGGCAGATGAGACAGGATCTCATTTTCTTTTCAGTCTGAAGATTTCTTAGAGGTAAGAACTCTTCTTAGAGGAAGAGTTCTTTAGTGGTTGACTGCTTTGCTTCTCTGAACCCCAATGTTTGTCTCTGAGATTTTATTATTCATGCTACACCCTGGCTACTATAGGACCAGGGACCCAGACATGGCCCTTGGCAGCATCCCTGCCCAGACATCACCATGGCCCTGAATGGCAAGTAGACCTCCCCCTTTTGCCTACTTACTCCTTGCTGCCTTTGCCATGGCTCCAGGTGGTTAGCAGGCCTTGGAATCTGCCACTCCTTGCCATCTTCCTTCCTTCCTTTCTTCCTTCCTTTCTTTCTTTCTTTCTTTCTTTCTTTCTTTCTTTCTTTCTTTCTGCATCTTCAGTCAGGGCCCTGAGGACCCTGGCTGACTAGTCTACATTTGTGCAGAACTGCATTAGATAATAAAGAATTTACAGAATTTGTGCAAATAATCAGTAAGCCAAAGCTTAAACTCATCAAGACATATCCTTTTACTATATTTATTTATTATGAGATAGAGCAGAAAAATTGGGTGGAGTAGACTGATGAAAAAAAAAACAAAAGTCAAACTATTTGCTGGGGGCTAGGAAATATGGTCAAATTATAGATAGTGCTCCAGGGCTGAAGACAAAACCACTTCCCCCTCACTCAAATGCCACTGACCCAAGGATGCATTTAAATTTCATCAAAGAGAAAAAAGAAATTTCATGAGGTACAGATGTAAGATATTCTGAGACCCTTTACTGTAGGAAAACCAATATGAATTTCAAACAGCAAGCTTTGATGATTCCACATGATTCATGTATGCAAAAAGCTATTCCTAAAATTCAGTCACAGATCATATTTTAACATAGGATAATGTTCTCATTTAAATGAACAAATGAGCTCCTAATAGAATGTTGAACAATTTAATCCCCACTATTAAAATTGTGCAAACTGCTGCACAGTGAATATATTTACTAAAGTCTTTAAAAAATCTGCCTATAATATGTACCAAGAGCTAGTCTAACTGATACAAGATGAGAAAACACTCAACACCTTTATTTGTATGAAGGTTAAATGCTAGCATATAAAGAGGTTCCATTGGCAACAAAGTACATACTTTTGCATAAGGACAATTGTGAATATGACCTAAGGGCAAGGTGTTTCTTTTATATTCAAGAATCTACTGGGCACAATTTTTACTTGATAGGGCATCTTCCAAAAGTGAATCCATATCACCAACAAAAAAAACCAAGAGTGTTGAAAATAAAAAGTCTTGACTGCATACATATTTATTTGCTCATTCAAACAACTTTATTTAATCCGGCATTATTTCCCAGTAGTAAAATTACAAAGGATTTTAAATGATTGGTTAATACAGCTTCACTGGAAACATAGCTACTACTCTAAAGGTGTACTGCGATTGAATGCTGTCTACCACAACCACGTTAACAATATCGTATAATGCAGGTTTATAACCAGGAAGAGTATGGAGAGAATCCAAGGTAAAAAACATGAAGTCATCGACCACGCCAGTTCTTCCATCAATACTGGTCACACAGACCTATGAAGAGAAATGAAGACACTGAGTATGGAGAAGCAGAGCCCACCACAGGTGACCCTCAACAACCCCTTGGCTCTCATCAGCAGATCCCTTGGCCCATCACTGATTCTCATCCTAGACACACAGGGAATACCTGGAAACTGTATCGACACATTCTATTCCTGTGTGATGAGAAGACATGTCCTTCATGCTAAGCATTATGGCCCTACACTCTATCTCCCGTGTGATGAGAAAATATGTCCTTCATAGCATTATGGCCCCACACTCTATCTCCCGTGTGATGAGAAAATATGCCCTTCATAGCAGTATGGCCCCACACTCTATCTCCCGTGTGATGAGAAAATATGCCCTTCATAGCAGTATGGCCCCACACTCTATCTCCCGTGTGATGAGAGGAAGTGCCATTCGTGTTAACCAATATGGCCACACAGTATACCACCCTGACTTTACATCTAATTCTCAGGCTGTACTGACCATGGTCTTACCCACCTTTATCAGCAGGCTGAACACCTCAAACCCAGTGTACTCAACGTTTACCCACAATTGCCTCACAGTCAAGGCACTTTCTAACTGTTGTTCACAGAACATCCTAACGTCAAGTAAAGCACACAGCCTAGGAATTAAGTATGTGTATATTCTACATTATTTTCTATTAGTTCTTTTTCAATTTGTGAACATGTCTGATGTGGGATTTCCCTCTGTATGCTGTGAATGTGTTTTATTACCATTGGTTAATAAAGAAGATGCCTTGGCCCTATGCAAAGAATATGGCAAGGTGGGAATTCCAAGCAGAGAGAGAGAGAGAGTAGAAAAGTAGGTGGAGTTAGGGAGATGACATGTAGCTGCCAAAGGAGACAGATGCTGAAACTTTACCCAGTAAGCCACAGTCTTGTGGCAATTCTACACAGAATAATAGAAATGGGTTAACTTAAAATGTAAAAATTAGTTAATAAGAAGCCTGAGCTAATAGGCTGAGCAGTGTTTTAATGAATACAGTTTCTGTTTGATTATTTCAGGTCTGAGCAGCCAGTAAACAAATGAGCAGTCTCTGACTACACATGTCTACTTTGGCAGGGATATATTGCCAAACAAAATTCTGGGCAATAAAGTAATCAGGAATGAAGGATAGGCAGCTACCTACCCATGACAAGGGCAACATGGACACAAATTACCTCACTGATCCTGTGGGAGTTGAGGGGGCTCACAGTGTGGATGTTCATGTTTGAATTGCCCGGCTTCGAGTAATAATCAATCAGCAGCAAGTCTCCTTTGTAAGGCATAAAATCTAAAACAGCCAAGAAAATTAAAAGTGTAAATATTATTGTACTCACATCATGTCACATTACCTAAGGCCCTATGTCACTGTAATAGGATGACCAACATTTCCTGAATGTAAATTCACTTTTCCAAATGCTTAGACAGATATCTCTAATTCTTCCTATAGAAAGGAAGCTTAATGCCCTTTAAACACTGGTTCATCTTCAATGATTTATTCATTAGATATGGATATTAGACATGGATTTATTCATCAGACATGGATAACTAGAAACTGTGTGTCTCAGAGTGAAATTTATGGCTAGGAACACTGGATTTCTTCATCAAGTGGTCATTTTGATATCACCTTGGGGATGGCAGCTGGGTACATGGTAGGATCATGTGTGTGAACCTTGGTACCCGGGCTAGGGACAAAATATGAGAACTTATCTGTCGAATATTGAGGAAAGAGGACACAAAAAGAAAGAGACCTATCTGCACCTTTGCTTTAAGGTGATGAAAGTATTTTGCAGATAAATCTCTGACTTGTGTAATGCTATCACTGACTAGGTTTTACATGGATCCTGATGTAGCGGCACAAAGATTATGATCCCAGCACTCAGAAGGGGAAGGTGGTTCCTAAGGTCATGAACAATTCTCAGATACACAGTGAGTTTCAGGTAACTTAGAGAAACCTTATGTGAAAAAACAAAACACTCAAAGAAATCAATTAAGTAGTGAAAGCCACATGGATGATGGCATTCTCAGGGGACAGGATCACTAGGCACTATTTAAAATAGTTCCCGTTTCCCTTTACTGTGCCTTACTTTCAATTTCAATGACATTTCCCACACTCTTGATTTATGTTTTTAAAAACTATCAATCTTACCTCCAGAAAAGAGCTGAGCAGGGATAGAAGTTTCCTTGCTGATATAGATGTTGTCCTGTGTTACCGAGGTGACACCCATAATACAAAGTTCTCTGTCAAGCTCTGATGGCTTAGCACCACAATCGCCATTAGTCATAACTTTCACCTATAAGAGAAGGAGACAGTGGCTGAAGATAAAATAAAAATTGCAGGCAGGAGTTTGTTTGCTTACCAAGGATTCCCCACAAAAACAACAGCACTTTAATAAGTTGACCTAACACAGTTGGAAGGGTGCTTGCAGGACATAGGACCCCTTGTTAGAGACGATGGACTTCATTAGCCTTCCCAAAATAGCCCTCCTGTAGCAGAAATCTTTTAATCTGTTCTCAGACTTAGACCATACGTTTCCCGTTAAAGATATACCATGGACCTGAGATGATGGCGTCAATTATGTCTGTGCTTGCTCCATGGATTGGCAAGGGCCTTGCAAATGTGAATTTGACACCTGTGTTTAATGCTCTCACAAACCTACCTTCTGACCTTAGAAAAACAGTGCTCTTACTTTCTAGGATCTCAAAACTCAAAAGTCTAAAATATATATTTACAAAAAACTACTTCTAAACAAGTCATAGTCACAGTTGTAACTGAAATTAGAAAACAATTTTGCACATTTACACAGAAAACAGTTTAGCCTGAGTGACACTGGTGGGGTAATTTGAGGAAATGGGCTTTGCGGCGTATGCAAAGGACGAGAAATGGGTCCCCTGGGAGATGGGAGTGGAGCAGAATGAAGCTGACAGAGAAGAAAGAGCAGCACAATTTTGGAGACCAAGGAAGGAAAGCATGTTATTCCCTCTCTGGACCTGAGTGCAGGAGCAGGAGATGAAGTGGGAGAGATAGCCCCCCAGAAAAGATTGCATAGACAAGGAGTGCTAGGGCTCCATTTACGTATGTGTGAAATAACACTAATATTCTGACTCTTCAAGGATTATGACCCTTACTGGAGGTAGTTTTCCTTTGAAAATTTCTTCAGTAAACAAAATATGAGTGTTTTCTATACAATGAGAGAATAGTCACATGAGCACACAGCAGAAAAACATTATCCCACAAGCCATACTGGATAATTTTCATTACCCAGAAACAGTGACTGGCTACCAGTTTGAAAATCAAACCTGAACACTGTGCAAGCTATTAAAATATCTCATAAAGGCACACCCGAGGGTGGCCGAAAGTGCATCTAGGATCACAAGGGACACACGCATAATAATTAGTGAGCTGTGTTTCTTATCATGTGATTCTTTGGATGTACTCATTATGATACTTATTGTTCTAAGCTACTGATGGAAACTGGAGACACAGACATCGAAGGCTGTTGAATGTCTTTTCAAAACCTAAATAATTGCTGCTGCTACTTCCCACTCACTGTACAGATGGGATGGTCCTTTGTCCTTTCTCAAGGATCCTTTGCACTGAGGAGAGAAGAAATTGGTTCCTATCTGACTAGTCACCAACAGTTCTGTCAGTACGCAGGTGGGTGTGCATCACGAATTCTGAGCAATGTGCATTCTGACTCTCCACTAGCCCACAGACATATTGGATCTTTAATAACTTCCAAATTCTCCTGGAAAACTTGTATTCTCCCAGTTCTCAATTTTTTTTTCACGATAGAAACACCACTAACAATCATAGCAAAGAAGTCAGCTAGATTCTTAAACTTGTAAAGAAAAATCCTAAGATACTCTTGGTCCCGACAACCAAATGGGGTAGAGTGGATGGTCCAATTCATGGTATAGGACCACTTGAAAGCCAATTAGAAAGCAAGGTCTGTGTCTTCTTTCAGCACCCTTAAGTCAAATTCAGGATGGCTGAAGATTACATGCTGATATGTGCATAGAGTGCTGAAAGACATAAGTGAATCTAGGCAGTATACTGCCTAAGGGAGTTTGAGGCTACCCAAGGGTTCATAATCAATGTAAGGACATTGCACAGGTCAAGACTCTGCCGCATAAAACTGAAATGAACAAATAAATAAAGCAGAATATCATTTATCAGAGTGACTGTTTGAAACAAGGCCTTATATTGTCTCCTTGGATGAGCTGAACATATAATGCAAACCAGTCTTTCCTTGAACTCAAAGCCATTCCATCTGCCTCTGCCCAAATATGAGAACAAGCCCATTAAACTTACTCTGTGTCTACATTAGTGTCTGTCTTAATCCAAGGGAGAAATAAAATTGAAGTAGGTTAAGACACTCTGGGTTAACTCAGCCATACCTTGACCGCTTTCAGTAAATGAGTTGTTTCGTCTTCTTTCACAAGAGCAATGACCATTCCTCCAATGCGCACAGGCATGTTGTCACTGACCACGCTGATATGGAAAAAGATGGTTTCATCAATCCAGCCGTAATCGAGGCTGAGATGGGTCACAATTCCTCTGACAGATTTCAGCTTGAAGTTATCTATGAGACAGGTAAACCAATGTCACACTGGCTCCCATCAAATACAAGCGACACACAAGTCCTACTCTGACCAGCTGTGCAGATGTGAGCACATATTGTCACTTCTCTGAACACAGTAACCATTTCTGCTCCCTAAGGTTGTGACTACCGAATGACACTTCCATGGCATCTGTGGGTGACCTGTCCCAGAGAGCGCAAGTGCAGCAGCGCTCATCTTCCCTGCTCAGGAAGCTCTGGAAACCCCCACTATTACTAGGGTAAGCCTGCCTCATCACCAGCAGCAAATGCATAGCCCTGGCTCTAAACTCTGACAGAGCCTTAGAAGGTCTGAGTAGATGTAAGGACATGTTCCCAAATTGCCTTTTATTCGTGGGTAAGCACGGTGGGTAAGTAATGTTTGGGGATCTGGCTCCAGTATCCTGCTGGGACAACCGGCCACCTTCCTTCATGGTACCCTCCCTATGACTGACTCCGCCCCCTGGCATCAGATAGTGTGTACTGGGGAAACAAGGCCACATTCTCTCTCAACGTGAGACGC